GTGGCCCCGGAGGCTGAGGCACAGGATCCATGGGCGTGTGCCCATGTCTGTAATCCGAGTGGCTCGGAGGCTGAGGCAAGAGGATCCAGCCTCAGCAAAAGTGAGGTACTACACAACTCGTGGGACCCTGTCTCTAAATAAAATACAAAATAGGGCTTGGAATCTGGCTCATCTGACTCTCGTCACTTGGAGCGGAGCCCTGAGCTTCCAGCTCCTCCCTGTCACCCTGGGGAGGGTCTGTGCAGACAGGCCCCGCTTCCCCTGCCCTCGGAGGGGGTCCAGGTGCCGCAGCTTGAGTGAGGGGCAGGGCTTTGGGAAATAGGTGCTTCCCCCTCGGAATCCCTGGGGAGGAACCACTGAGCCAGGCTTCCATCCCGACACAGACTTCCTGGGCTGGGGAAGAGAGTCACGGCATCTCTGCTACCCTGCAGGTTTTAGCGGGAGCAAGAAGCAGATCAAGAGTGTGTGTGGGGGGGACCAGGTAGCAGTCTAGCTAAAAGCTTTGTTGGAGCTTTTAAGTGGGGCTCAGCCCCTCCCAGTTTTTCTGAGGAGGCTAGAAAAGACGGTGGCTTCTCTCCTACCTGAAGAAAAGCCAAGGTGTCAGGCACTGCCCAGGAGAAATGTCCTTGTGGAAGTAAAGAGTGAGCAAGGGCATAGAAGAAACCAGGGGCCGAGGGGGCGGAAGTCCTCCAGGCAGAGCCTGCCTGGGGGTGCTGGCCCTCGCGGCGACACACCAGCGCTGAGCTTGCGCATCACCCTTGCTCACCGTTGTTCTGTACCACACAGACAAAGTGGACTTGGTTGTGATGTTTTAAACTAAGTGAAGCGTTTTCGTCTATGTTACCAAGAACTCATGATTGACATACCAGGGCTCATCCTGATCTCAAAGTAGCCCCAGCAGGACGGGGAGTCCTGCCATACACACCCTCCCCAGAAAGTTCAACCACAAATGCCGTGGGATGATAGGGAGGCAGCACTGAGGGGTCCTAACGTGTGTGTGTGTGTGTGTGTGTGTGTGTGTGTGTGTGTGTGTGGCTGGATCCCCAGCCCAGCGCCCAGCGCCCAGCGCCCAGCGCCCCACACATGCTGGCAAAGCACCCAGGGCTTCCTAAGTTGCCCAGGCTGGCCTTGAACTCATACCCTCCTCGCTCAGGTCAGAGTCCCTGGCTGTGATGTGCTTCTGCAGGTTTGGATATTCTGCAGCCGGTGACTTGTGGGCACTCAGACTGCTCACTGTTCAGGGCAGAGGGCGGGCAGGAGAGGTGGGTGGACAATGCACTGGGACCTGGCTGCTTTTCAAGAAGGGAACTAGCATTTGTTGTTGGAAATTATGCTTGGGGAAGGGAGGAAGGAAGCTGCTGGTGGGAGGACATTTATGTTCTGAAGAGAGCTGAGAAGTTCCATGGCACTGTAATTAAGAGAAGGCAGTTAAGAACCTTTGTTAGCACTAGAAGTGATAAATTCCTCAGGAACTATGAATCCTCTCTTGAGGCCAAGCCCTGTCAAGGGAGTTCCAGATTTCAGGGCCCTGTTTGAATGGAAAATCTGTCTTTGCTTGAAACATCTGGGCTTAATTTTCTTCTTGTAGAAATTAACTTAAAAACATTACTTTTTTATATAGATTTAACTTGAAAATAGACTGAAACAGTTTAACTCAGAATACGTCCTCTGGACTTTCTGCCATTTTCGCTAATGATTTAATTCCATCTTGCCTTTTTCAGTCTTATATGTCACATATATTATTACATATATTACACATTACACATTATATTACATATGATATACCTACATTAGATATTGCATATGTAATACATAGGTTACATATAGAGTTTTTTTAGGATCACCCACGTCTTTCCTATACTTCTTTTCTTCCCCCATTTCAGATCTTCCTTTTGAAATCTCTTCTTTTTGAAGGAGAATTTCTTCAGTATTGATCTGTTGGTAGGATACTCGTGTCAGTTTATGTTGATCTAGAACAAAATCTTTGTTTCATTCTTTTTTTTTTTTAGATGTTTTACTCTTTTTTTTATTGGTTGTTCAAAACATTACAAAGGTCAGGACATATCATCTTTCATACATTTGATTCAAGTGGGTTATGAACTCCCATTTTTACTCCAAATACAAATTGCAGAATCACATTGGTTACACATCCACATTTTTACATAATGCCATTTTGTTTCATTCTTGCCTTGAAACAATTTCACTGGTCACTCAATTCTGGATTGATAGTTCTTTTCTCAACACATGGAGATTTTCGTTTTACTTTCTCTGGACCTTCACTGCTGCTTGCCTGGATTCAGCCGTGCCCTATTGCCCTTCTTTTACGGTGATCTGTCCTGTCTCTGCTGTTAGTTCTTGTTTTTGTCCCTCTTGTTCTTTGGTTTTGATTAACATGTGACCAGGAATGGATTTCTGTTTATTTATCTAAGTTGGGATTTGTTGTGCTTTTCAATCTGTGGGTTAGATTTTCATCAAATATGGAAAACTCTCAGCTATTAAAACACCAAATATTTCATTTCCTCTTTAAACTCTCTTTCAAGGAATTGGATTAAATGTGTATTAGATCCCCTTCCATCCCCCATAGAGCTTCTATCCTTTGTATATTCTATCTCCTTTGTTTTCTGTTGTCTATTCTGGGTAATTTCTTCAAGTTTTTCTTGTAATTCACTAATTTTCTCTTTAGCTGGATCTATTCATCCTTTCAATTTTAATACTTTTTACAATAATTTTTTAGTTGTAGATGGACACACAATACCTTTATTTTATTTGTTTATTTTTATGTGGTGCTGGGGAATGAACCCAGTGCCTCATGCATACTAGGTAAGCGCTCTATCACTGAGCCACCCCCCACACACACACTTTTTTTTTTTTTAATTTCTAAAAGACTTAGCACTTTTTCAAATCTTGGTCCTTGTTGACAGTGTCATGGCCCTTACTCTTAAGTGAAATTCCCTCTTATTTCTTAAACTCTATTAAAATTCTAAGTAAGTTTAAAAAATATTTATTCTTAAGTTTTAGGTGGACACACAATATCTTTATTTTACATTTATATGGTGCTGAGGATTGAACCCAGTGCCTCGTGCATGCTAGGTGAGCACTCTACTACTGAGCCATAACCCCAGCCCCTAAAATTCTAAGTAATTTAAAATTTTGTGTCTAGTTATTCTAATATCAATAGTTTCATGAATTTAATTTTGGTGTTTGTTACTTCTGCTAACTCTCACTGTGGGTCTTTTATCATTATGTAGATCTTATTTTTTGATTGTGAACTCATGTTTGGTGTCAGTCAGGGAAGAACTTTCCTGCTTTTTATGCATCCCCATCTTCAAAATAGCGCCACCCAGAGGGTCCCAGAGGAATGAGGGA